GCTGTATACAGCCAGTGAGGCCAGTGGCTGTTGGATGGCCCCGATGGTTCCCTTGGCTTGACATTGCTATGTGATTGTCACCCAGCGCAGCCATCTGGTGCTGTCGATTCAAGGATGGCTTCTCCTGAAAATGTTGTACAGTGTCCTTTTTTATTAATGCACATTGCGCCATGTCATGTGTAAAGCAGCTCGGGAAAATGTGCTCAGAGGGGTGATCCCAGACATGAATTCTGATGGCAGAGATTGTTTCTGACCATATTTTGATCAGCCTTGTGCAAACTGTCAGCTTTCCACCCCCACCCCCCTGAAAAAAATCTTTGCTTCTCAAATTATACTGCGGAGGCCATAATTCACCCTCTGCTCATTCAAACCTCTATGAAGATGTCAGGCAGAAAGTTGCTTTGGCTTTGCTTTCGTTTTCTGAGATTTTCCTTTCTCTCGTCTTCCCATCAGCCAGATCTGTGAATACTGTATTTGTGTTCTACATTTAACAACTTAAAATGGGCCGTCCACACACTTAAGTGCCCTGCACAAATTCCAGTATGTAGTCCTTGTCTTATTTTTCACAATTGATTCTGGTGTTGCTAGTCACAGTGAGAGTAAGGAGTTATGCAAGACACAGAAACTCAAGTCTAAAAGCTTAGAAAAGTTACTTTTTCCATTATTAGCTACCATGTTTTCTTGGGAATTCTGAGAGTTGTACCCCAAACTGAATTTTTCCTAATTTTTAGCCGATTCAGTGGGCTTTGTCCACAAGCTAGCTGACATAACTCTGAAGATGCATAGTGGAGGAGTGATATATTCTTGCAAAATTACAACACACATATAATCCCACATTATCAGATATTTACTGTGGGAGTAGGAGAGCTTGTTAAATCAGTTTCTCCAGTCAGGCTGTTAAATAGAAAGGAGAAGCATAAAATCATTCCAATTTTTTATTTAAAAAAGACAAGTTAAACAATGGCAAAGGAAGTTGAACTTTGCTGGCTCAGTGGAGATGGGCTCTAACTCTGAATTCCAGATTCCTGAGAGTTGGATCCTAAAGGATGTGTAGCTTTTAACATGTAGCTTGCAACTACGTCTATGCCCTTTCACGGTGAATGTTTTAGCACGTGGTCTCTGTTTTGTGAATCTTGTCTGACATAATGGGCAGGTGCCAGGAAAGCTCACATTATAATAAAGGAGTTAGTCTTTAAGATGCCACAACATTTTTATTTACTGATAGATTTTGTTTTGTGTTTCTTGTTTAAATGTTGCACCGACTAGCACGGCTACAACTTCAGTTATTCGCCTTGGGCGCTCTTCTTGGTAGATCACATTACCTCTCATTTCCCACTTTGGTTGTTTTGTTTTTAATTGTTACAAGGATGGGGTCCCCAACCTTGGGCCTCCAGATGTTCTTGGACTTCATCTCCCATAAATCCTGACCAGCAGAGGTGATGGTGAAAGCTTCTGGGAGTTGTAGTCCAAGAACATCTGGAGGCCCAAGGTTGAGGACCACTGGTTTAGACTTCCTTCTGTTGCACGTGACAGTGTCAGCATCCATGTAAGAGGTGGCAGGAAGATGACTGGTTTTCTGGAGGATGAGTTGAGTCCAAATGAGACATGAGACTTCTACCTTGCTGGCTTTTTTTGTGGGGGGGGGACTGTGTGTCATGAATTGGCTTTGAAGAGGGAGCCATTGTGGCCATGCCCTGTGTGTGCGATTCCTGCACACCTTTCCCTTGCCCATAGTGATACAACTGTGTTTAACTACAACTCCCATTCTTTCCAGATGGCACAATATGTGATTTTCTCCTCCTGTCTTTCAAATGTATATTCTTGCATCTGCCCCACAGTAAGGGCTTACCTTATATAGATTATAGATAGCCCCTTATAAAAAGCTGGATTCTTTCAGAGATGTGATTTTCACAGAACTTCTTGCCTGTGGAAACAGATTTGAAAGTAAAACCCATGTTTCAACCCAGAAGACCAAGCACAAAGCAAAGCAAGCTGGTCTGAAAATTATAGGAGCGGCGGGGAGTTCCCTTCTATGACAATCAGATACGTTCAGCTCTTAAGGAATCCTCACTCCCAGTGAAGGACTTCCAGAAGCTCTTCTGCCCAAACGAAGAGACAGAAGAGCACAGGGAGGTCTTAAGCATGTATAGTCGGAACCAAATCCTTGCGGAGATGAGTAGCACTAATTTTCCCAGGTAAATTTTTTTTTAAAGCCTTAGTTTTCCTAGTCAGGCAGGATGTACTACTTCAGGCAGTAAGTGGCGGCTCTCATGACTGAAAGCTCTGCCATGCAAACAAACGATTTTCCACGTAAATAAACCCAAAACAAAACTGAAGGAAAGGTGAGCCAGGTATACAGTAATGACAAAGAATTTGCTACTTGTAATTTCATTCCTCTTTTGCAGTGACTGAGACATAACAATATTATATAACAACTATAATGGGTAATAACATCTCGCTGTTTTATTTTATTTCATTCTGGTTACAACGTGAGTGGGTTCACTAATGGCCGTCTAGTTCTGTAACTAAAGGGATTGCTGATAACGTGTTCTCTTCTGTACGATTTGAAACCATCTGACATAGATCCTGGTCTACTACCTCTATGGATGTAAAGCAAACAAGGAGGAGATTTGCAACACCTTAATCGTGCAGTGGAAGCTAAGCCACAATTGTTCTAGGTGCTTGGGGGGAATGATTTTTTAATAAGTTTTAATTGTGTGGCAAAAAAGTAAAGGCCAGGATGGCACCATTTGATGGCATCAAGGGCAGAAGGAGATTCACCAACCAAGGTGCCATGGCCAAGAAAGCCTTCTCCTGTGTCTCCATGTATTGTACTCCTCTCCCTCAGCATCCTCGTGGTTGGACAGGTGTACATGGGGAGACATGCTCCCTCAGATATATTGCCCCCAAGCCATTTTGGCCTTCTGTACTCACAGACTCAGACTGGAAGCAGATTGGCAACCAGTGTGGCTTTCAGCAGCAATCCAGCATTTATTGCAACACTGGGGGATTTTTTTTTTTTTTGGCCTCCTGTTGCCTTGGGCGAGACAATGGTAGTTTTTTTCTAATTTAGAAAATCAACAATGTTTTTAAATATATGTGTATGTTTTGGAATGACATGTTTTGACACTGTTGCTTGTTGACAATGACCTCTTCCATCTAATTTCTGTGCATTTTCCCCCCCACTTCCACACGAAGACCTTACCTGTTTGGG